ACAATGAAGTAAATGGGTAAAACATCGTCAAAACTTAACTACTTTTAATGGACAATCAAGTAAAGTAAATGGGTAAAATATCGTCAAAACGTAACTACTTTTAATGGACAATGAAGTAAATGGGTAAAACATCGTCAAAACTTAACTACTTTTAATGGACAATCAAGTAAAGTAAATGGGTAAAATATCGTCAAAACGTAACTACTTTTAACGGACAATCAAGTAAAGTAAATGGGTAAAATATCGTCAAAACTTAACTACTTTTAATGGACAATAAAGTAAATGGGTAATATATCGTCAAAACTTAACTACTTTTAATGGACAATCAAATAAAGTAAATGGGTAAAATATCGTCAAAACGTAACTACTTTTAATGGACAATCAAGTAAAGTAAATGGGTAATATATCGTCAAAACTTAACTACTTTTAACGGACAATCAAGCAAAGTAAAATGGGTAAAATATCGTCAAAACTTAGCTACTTTTAATGGACAATGAATTTAAGTAAATGGGTAAAATATCGTCAAACTTAACTACTTTTAATGGACAATCAAGTAAAGTAAATGGGTAAAATATCGTCAAAACTTAACTACTTTTAATGGACAATCTAACAAATTATCCATTCAAAATAACGTCAAAATCGAATTGTTTTTAACGAACAATCAATCAAATTATCCGGGCAAAATATCATCAAATTGGAAAAGTTTTAATGGACAATCGATCAAACTATCCGTTCAAAATTGAACTGTTTTTATGAATAATCCTAAAAATTATCCGATAAAATATTTCTCCTTACTGAAGTTTAAAATTCTGACCTAATAATTATATTATTTCTATACATACAGATAATTACCTACTTCTACAAAAAATATATTATGAAAGTTAACATAATATATATAGTTAAATTTGTTAATTTGAAAGTTTATTTTCTAGCACTGATTTTCTCTCAATTACAATCTATTATAATAATAATACTCATTTTTTTCTGTCATAAAAATTCGCGCGAACTTTACTGTCTAAATGCACATTGCACACCCATTTTAACGGATGTTAGCAAAAGGCGGATTTAAGTATACTATAGTAGACATTTTGTACAACAACATATTAAAAACTAATCAATGTTTTTAAAAAGTTCTAACGTTAGGTTGTAGAACAATGTTAAAAGGTTATTTATTAATTGTATTAATAGTAAGTACGGTAACGTTTAGCCCTAAAAAAATTAAAGTAAAAAACGTACACAAGTTACAGTGTAGAAATTCCATCCTTTTATTTGTAATTATCAACTACGAGAAAAAATACTTCTTACACGAAACGCTAAAATTATTAGGAAATTAATCCATGAATCTCTAACTGTCAAAACCCAAGTAAAACTCTTACACGAAACGCTAATAATTATTAGGAAATTAACCCATCAATCTCTAACTGTCAAAACCCAAGTAAAAATAGCGTGTTTACTGAATCATGGCCTACTTTACCATTCTGAACTTTTTCTTCTAGCTCTTCTTTTGCATAAGTGTTGCTACAAACTGAAGACCTGTCTGAGGATGCCAAGGTGGGAACCGAGGGTAGGTTACGAGCTGTCTGGACCACTCTACCGATCCGTGGAAAGGCTGTGGTATATCGAGGAAAGGTTTCTAGGTCTTTTGATACTCGTTCATAAGATCTGACCGTGTCCAGGTTATTGAATGGTTCTTGCATGGTAGGGGTATAAACCTTGGGCCTAGGAGGTACTGCCGGCAGGGTGAAAGAGGTATCTTCTAGATGGCTTAGCTTGTTTATATCTTTATGACTATCTCGATGTAACATCGAATTTTTCACCATCAGTTCTGCTGTGGTGGAATCTTCCTGTAAGTTATTGTTCCCCTGTCTTCTGCGACACTTACGATGATAACGTTTACAGCAGCATGCCAACCCGACTGATACAACGAGAAGAAACAACACAAGCACCACGATCCCAGCAATTTCTTCAAACGTAGTGTTCATGCTTGTGGAGGTAATTGATGTTGTGTAAAGGGGTTCTGTGCAAAGATGGCCCGTCACGTTCGGCTGACATTTGCACTGAAACGACCCATGGAAGTTGACACAAGTTGCCCCGGCCCCGCAAGGTTCAGTCTGACATTCATCAAGGTCGAACTGACATCGATCACCATGGAAACCCCGACACTTGCATACCGGTCCATAAGCTCCCTCTTCGCAAATGCCCCTGTTCTGACAAGGATTGGGGTTGCAGAAATGTCCATACTCACACCTGGTTCCACTGTGGCCTGGAAGACATTGACATTTATAACTGTTAGTGTTGTTACGACATGTACCTCCATATAGACAAGGGTTTGAAGCACACGGGTCTGTATCCACTTCACAATTAGAACCCATAAAACGAGGCAGGCATTGACAAGTGTAGGAATGATCATTCTTTCGGCAGGTGCCCCCGTGCTGGCAAGGTTGTGTACCGCATATTCCAGGATCGATTAATTCCCTACAATGGAATTCCACGTTGACAAATCTGGAAATCGAAATGCATATTAATGGAATTAACAAAGGAGTCTAGAAAGGTTTTCTGTATGGTATGGTTTCAACAGCTGACTTGCATTGCTAAACATCGATAGAATATGTTTAAAATAATATTTTTTGGGGGGGATTTCTCAAGTGATAATTATTAGGTGCTTGCAGTAAAAGGCTTTGAGACAAATAAACAACTGATATAAGGCATGAAATGTTTTTTTTTATGTTTATGATATCTCTCAAACTTAACAACCATACGGCTCGCCATAAATCCATGATTCCCAAAATCGTATAGAAACATGGTATGACAAATCGCTCGTCATGATGCAACAAATCGTTTAACATGATGCGATAAACCACTTAGCATGATGCAATAAACTGCTTAAAGTGAGGCAATGTTAACATGATGCGACAAATCGTTCAACGTGATGCGATAAATCGCTTAACATGATGCGACAAATCGTTCAACGTGATGCGATAAATCGCTTAACATGATGCGACAAATCGTTCAACGTGATGCGATAAATCGCTTAACATGATGCGACAAATTGCTCATTATATCATGACAAATCAGTTCAAATATTGAACAGAATGTTTACTTACTTGCGAAGAGTGGCAACAATATTGGTGCTGGTGATATGTAAAGGCAGTTTGACTCCGTTAATGTGGATATTATCTATACAGCCTATAAATCCCATCCTTATATCTTCATATCTCAGTGACCTCACTTCAGCCCCGAAATATACGTCGTTTCCGTCCAGGTTTAGAAGGTCGTGAACGCCAGGTGCGGCTCCAGTTTCTTCTACCTCCCCGTCTATGGTAATGGTTGCTGTGCTTCCTCTCCGCTCCACGCTGACTTCGTGCCAAGCGCCATCATTCAGTTTAACACCCTCTACACGAACAATTCCTTCTCCACTGCCAAAGTCTACTCGGTACTGGACCGCTCCATTTATAATCTGAAGGGTAGAAAGGTTAAATTACTAGCACTCTCATTTCACATCTCCAATCTCTTAACAATATATGATATACCACGATTCATTATTATATTTTCCAAATAAAAAAAATTAAAGTTATAGTTTCGGTTTACAGATTAAAATTTGATGATGTGTTTAATCCTACCTACAGCAAATATTGTTATGGTTATTTCTATTCTTACGATGTAGTGAGTGCTCCAGATGCTGATTCAAAATTTATTTTAAATGCAACTGCCTCCTAGTGGCACAGCGCTAAAAATCGGGTTTTGATACCCGTGCTGGGTACAGCACATATAACCAATTATGGTGCTTTGTGCTTAACAGAACACAAATTAAATGCACCTGAAATTTGTCTCTACTAGACTCAGTATAGTCTCGTACACAGGGAGGGTGACACCAGACCAAATGTTAAAATATGCATAAGTAGTGTTGATCTAGCTGACTCAAAATACACTCGTTCACAGCAAGGTCTGATTTACAGAAACTACTTCTATTTAGAAGTACAGTTCACCTCTTTAGCCTTGTTCGCAGCAAGATGATCAGCTCTGATTTATAATGATGGGACAAGTACTAATACCCACACCTCATAGTATATCCTAACCTCACATTTCATAGCTAACTGAAATAAATACATTTTGCGAAATCAAGCTTGACCAAAAAAGGGGCTGAAAAGTGCAGTTGGGGCAATCAAACCTCGGTAAATTCCTTTGTGAGCCAATCAAAGTTCAGATCATTCATGAAATGAATTCGTGGCGTATTCAATGAATAACTATTGGTAAAAATCAGTTAGATTAACAACTTCTAATATATAGAAAAGCCAGTGTGTTTTGGTAACACTACCTTCCAACAATGGCTGTTATGTCATGTTGCTTAGCAATGAAAGTATAACCTAATATTGTTGTTAGTCTAGGTACTGTAAGTATAAAATGAAATGTATAAACAATAAAACTGGAAAAAAAATATTTGTTGATTTCTTAACTTAGAGTCTCCGTTGATTAAAGAGGTTTGTTTTTTATTAAAAACGTTGGCGATATACCAGAAAATAGCCTACTTCAGAAACGATTTAAGTTTAAAATTGAGCCGATGTTTTTTACTTTCTTGATAAATTTTATGCACTTGGCTCTAGGCTAGGTTATCTCACACTACGTCTTTACTTAGGCTTATTTATGAATTTGACTGTGTTTCAATATATAAAGCCACTCAGATAGACAATACCATACTTATATAAGGATTATAGAATGTAAAAAAAATGATTTTTTTCTTTATGAGAAATCAAATTTATACTATTATAAACTAGAATAACATATTCAATAAATTACTGCTGTCTAACAAAAAAAATAGTAAGAAAGTTTATTTTCTAGCATTGATTTTCTCTTCATTAAAATCTGTTCAGAAATGGTCGATGAGAAATTTCGAAGTTCAAACAGTGTTTTTTATCCACTTTGATTATTATGGTGATGACAGTTTCAAGAGAGCGATAGATGTGTAAACCTTCAAGTCCATATGTGAAAGTACTTTTAAACTAGGTGATTAACACACTCAAAAGTTAAAGAAATTCAGAATGAAATATACAAAACAACGTATCAGCTTCTATCGTACCAAGAAAACAACTCTTAGAAAGACTAACCATTTACCTCTAAAATACTGTAATCTTTTCTTCCAGCAGCGAACATCAGATTTCCAGTTTCTTGCACAGTCCTGATGTGCAGGAAAACAGAGAAGTGATGGTCCACAGGTCCGTTCAAGTTGTATTGTGCAAAGCTTCTCCCTCCAAATGAAATGGGGTTCTTTTCTGTCAAAAAGGGAACTTAGTTACCATAATAATTCTTGTGTAATTTGTAAAAGATGAAGAAGCATTTTGTACATCTTGAGTGCCTCTAGGTATCTCAGTACCTACCTTCCAATCATTTGTCCCTTTGGAGTACAGTTATTCATAAATTAGTCTTTAAACTGATACTTTTTATAAGCGAATTTTCTTTTGCATTGCACATTTGCAATAAAATGAAAATCATTATAGGCATTCGTGTGTGTATCACGTATTGTGTTGATCCAATGTGCATTCTTGCTTCTTCTCACTACTGAAGTTTATAGATACACACGTGTGTGGAAGAGTTCTAAACACCACGTGAGAATGCTGGGAATATTCTGTTCTAAGCTACCGAAAAAAAAAACAATCTACAAAACTGTCTTTGTACTTACGTGCACGATATTTTAAAAATTCATCTGTTACTGAAGCTTAAGATCCAAAACTGATCATCTTCTCCACATTAAAGTTTGCTTTAATAATGCTTAAGTATTCGGACAGTACTTCGAAATGGAAAAAATAAACTATTTGTATTGCTTCTAGAATGTTTAAATTTAAAACATATCCAAGTCATTAATATTTAGGCCCGGCATGGCCAGGTGGCTCGACTCGCAATCTGAGGGTCACGGGTTCGAATCCCCGTCACACCAAACATGCTCGCCCTTTCAGCCGCGGGGGCGTTATAATGTGACGGTCACTCCCACTATTCGTTGGTAAAATAATAGCCCAAGAGTTGGCGGTGGGTGCCTTCCCTCTAGTCTTACACTGCTAAATTAGGGACGGCTAGCGCAGATAGCCCTCGTGTAGCTTTGAGCGAAATTCAAAACAAACAATTAGTATAAATTAGATTTATTTTAGCTATCCATACATTTGGCAGGTATGAAATTAGTGAGGAAATTTCAGTGTGATTTCAAGAGAAGAATGTAAATGTTAACGCCATTTCTTATGGACTGCTTTGTTAACGCCATTTCTTATGGACTGCTTCATCCCATTCTGTTGGTTTTCAAGTGACGTTTCGAATGTGATGCTGAGCTAAATTTTATTTTATTTCTTCAGACTTGATGAAAGTACTCGAAAAGGAGTCCAAAACTCCCTATGAGACACTGTTGAAAAACTCAATAAAAAACAATGCTAACTTTATTTTCTTGTTACGATTGCTTATTTTGCTCAAGCCATTTATCGACTGTTGTTTACATCATATAAACACAGGGATGTTACGTTATCAACAAACCCCCTGACGCTCAGACGGAATAGAAGTATAAAAAGCCAGGATAGATTTAGTTTTGGTTGTACCATTCTTTGGGTAAACTTCGAATGGGTATCTTTGAGTTTTTATTTGATATTTATGAGGAACAGTAGAAAGTCTGAAAAGAACTTCTTACAAACCTTCATAGCAGGCAGAACTGTTGCACAGAGCTTTTTCCCGATCACACATCAATCCTATTTTCCTTTCTGGGCACTGGCAGGCATATCCAAGAATTGAAGCTTCTGGAACGCAGATTCTATTGGCTGGACAGGGTCCTCGTGCACACGCATTAATTTCCTGTTCACACTGTGGACCTGTATAAAAGTCAAACACATGTAAGCCTTTCACATGCGGCTTGACCTGTGAGGGATTTTGTCTCGTAAGGGGGGGGGGACATAAAGGAAAATAGGTTAAACATTCTTTGAACCTCCCTACCTCCACCCATAAAAAGTTCAAATATAGAGAAAACAACCTTCAATGAACTGTAAGTGAATACTGTTATTCACCTAATGGAAGTCACTATATGCTTTCAAAACCCCTTTTACTACCAACTATTATAAAAATTTAAATTAATATCGACATTCATTTTGTTCCGCGTTGTTAACACCACGTAGTTATCTACGGCAATTAACACAAAATATTTAAAATATCACGTTTCTCTTTCTACGTTTCAAACTTTTTTATCCGGTTTTCATCAAAAAAGTCACATTTATAGCAGTCCTCCTTGACTTACATGCTGTTGTGTTTAATATTTGTTGAATAAGTGTAAATTGAAGACTGTTTGAACAATAACTTAGCAAGCTGAGTTTACATATTTCATTTTAGATTGTCAAAACGAAACCATTACATATATTCATAGTTGTTTGGTTGGAATTGCCTTGCAAAGTAGTCCTAGAAGACAATTATTTAATTAAGCAACTCATATACAACTATTTAAATCATTCGAAAGTAACATAGCAGCTGAAGTAAGACTTATATTTTCTTGTAAAACTGTATCTTAAATTTTATGTTAATCAATAATAATTTTTCTGGTTATTTTTGAATTAAATTATTTCTGTCGGTACTTCACTAGAATTACAGAATGCATACAAGAAAAACAAAATTTCCCGGTTTGTATTCATAAATTATTTTAAACTTTGTTCTCGATACACGTTTATTCACGTTTTTTATCCTAAATGTATATTATATTGGATTTATTTTGTTTGGAGTTAATAGTAGATTCCAATTTATCAGGTAGGTGTACAAAAATATCATATTATATGAAAATATCTACTTTGCTGCATAAAGTACGTCATATTATATGAAAATAGGCTTAGTCGTTCTGTTAAAATATTTGCATTATTTTCCAGTATAGCGTATCTACTTTGCTGCATAAAGTACGTAATATTATAGGAAAATAGGCTTAGTCGTTCTGTTAAAATATGTGCATAATTTTCCAGTATAGCGTATCTACTTTGCTGTATAAAGTACGTCATATTATATGAAAATAGGCCTAGTCGTTCTGTTAAAATATTTGCATAATTTTCCAGTATAACGTATCTACTTAGCTGCATAAAGTACGTCATATTATAGAAAATAGGCTTAGTCGTTCTGTTAAAATATTTGCATAATTTTCCAGCATAGCGTGTCTACTTTGCTTCATAAAATACGCCTGAAGATCAATCTAGGAGTACGAATTAAAATCACTCCATCAATAACTTATTTTTGGACTTATTACTGAACGTAAAAATTTTAGGTTTAATGTCAACTCGTGACATTGTAATGGTTTCCTCTATTACATGTGGTTTAAAAAGGAAACCTAACAGCATACATCACTAATTAAATTAGTAACGTGAAAGGGCAAATAATTGTAGCATTTTTTATAGAGTAATCTTGGGTGAAAGACAAATTAAAAGGTATAGTTGTGATGGTCTGTCTGGATAGCACTTCACTGCTGCCATCTATTGAACAAAACTAATTTAGCATAAGCCAGCTTCTTTGATTTAAAAAACTGAGTGTTTCTTTAAACGAGAATGGAAAAAAAGAAGATGGATAGCTAATAGAAGAAAATGTGTTTATTGCTACAGAAACAACAAGATTGAATAACTTGATAATTATGACTGGTTTTATAAAGTCATTCTAGCTTATTTAATGTTAGTATTAAATTTCAGAAAAATGTGTTACAACTTCATAGTGAAGGAAACATTATTACACTGAACAGATGTGGACAACTAGTATGTGGTTGTCTCTAAAATCTGTTTTAATGAACAATGCAGATACCAGTGCACTAGGCTTTATTTTGTCAATTAACTATTGCAACATTATTTCTGTTTTAACGAACAATACAGACATCAGTGCACTAGGCATTATTTTGTCAATTAACTGACGCAACATTATTTCTGTTTTAACGAACAATACAGACATCAGTGCATTAGGCTTTATTTTGTCAATTAACTATTGCAACATTATTTCTGTTTTAACGAACAATACAAATATCAGTGCACTAGGCTTTATTTTGTCAATTAACTATTGCAACATTATTTCTGTTTTAACGAACAATACAGACATCAGTGCACTAGGCTTTATTTTGTCAACTAACTGACACAACATTATTTCTGTTTTAACGAACAATGCAGATATCAGTGCACTAGGCTTTATTTTGTCAACTAACTGATGCAACATTATTTCTGTTTTAACGAACAATACAGACATCAGTGCATTAGGCTTTATTTTGTCATCTAACTATTGCAACATTATTTCTGTTTTAACGAACAATACAAATATCAGTGCACTAGGCTTTATTTTGTCAACTAACTGACGCAACATTATTTCTGTTTTAACGAACAATACAGACATCAGTGCATTAGGCTTTATTTTGTCAACTAACTGACGCAACATTATTTCTGTTTTAACGAACAATACAGACATCAGTGCACTAGGCTTTATTTTGTCAACTAACTGACGCAACATTATTTCTGTTTTAACGAACAATACAGATATCAGTGCATTAGGCTTTATTTTGTCAACTAACTGACGCAACATTATCTCTCTAACAAACATAGCTCACAACAACCAGAGCCTGCATCTTGACCAACAGTTTCCTAAGGCATCTTCATCGTTATCTGAACTGAATATGGCATTAAGTAGAAAAAACTGAGTTGTTTTCGGGAGAAGAAAAATAATTTTCCTTCCAGACTTACCTCCATAGCCTGATTCACAGTGACAGCTAAGCATACGGTGAAAGTGATGCGACACAAAGCTCTGGGTGTCGGTGTTGATTAACTCAACCTCGTTTTCATTAATAACTATCTTATCATCACATATTCCATGTTCGCAAGTTCCTGGAAAACATCGGTTGTCCATGATCTGTAGGTGCGTGAGAAATTTGTTTTATGAAATCAGTTCCTCTGTCTATTTAACTAAATACATATTACACACCAAAAAGAAATGATCCATTTACATATTTAATTATTTGAAATTTTCTCTCGAATAGTTTTAAAATTTCCGATACATATATATGTTTCCAACTGTTAATATTTCTAAAACATACTTTGAATACGCTAATTTTAACTTATAAAAGAAAGATAGTTCCTTCAATCCAAATCTTTTCGATGATTCTTACAAAGAGCTAGGACTAAAATAAATGGAGTCGTATATGGCTAGGACTAAAATAAATGGCGTCGTACATAGCTAGGACTAAGATAAATGGCGTCGTACATAGCTAGAACTAAAATAAATGGCGTCGTATATGGCTAGGACTAAAATAAATGGCGTCGAACATGCCTAGGATTAAAATAAATGGCGTCGTACATATAAGATATGCAAATAAAGCTATTTCATAAACTTATGTTAGAATGATATAATGCAATTTACTAGGAGATACATCTGTAGAAGTGGGCTCAAAAATCTCGTGAGGATACCACGTCAATCAAACTTAACCCTCATGTAACCCTCGCATGTAAAAACATAGGAGCAGACATGAACGCTCGAACCTATATATTTCCAAATCTGAAACTGCTTTCCATAGCCGTGGAAAGGTAGTTGCTCTTACTCAAAGAGATAAACAATAAAAGATACTACAAAGCTTAATAGAGTCTTCTGTCAATGCAATGATTTTGACAGTAAAAGCTTTAGTTGTAGTAAACTTGTCGTTAGTCCCACTTATATAGATTGAGTAGTCACCAGGATTCAATCCTGATGTTACTGATAAAGTTCCGTTTTCGTGAAATATATTTCCTGACGTTGGCACCACAACGCTATAATGATAAATTACATGTGAATACAGCCTAATATTAGTAGGTCAATATATATACTGCTAATTAAATGATAGAAAATTGAGAATTACTCTAACTTCAATAATGTAGTATAGCGTTCGACTTTCTTTAGATAAATTGTGATTTATTACTAGTTCAATGAGAAATGATGTAAAACAACGTAAAGTTCTGTTAGATATGTGTATTGGTAAGTTTTATTATAAGTTTGGTTTGTTTTGAATTTAGCATAAAGCTACGCGAGGGCTATCTGCGCTAGCTGTTCCTAATTTTGCCTGGCATGACCAGGTGGTTAGAGCGCTTGACTCGCACTCTGAGGATCGCGGGTTCGAAACCCCATCCCACCAAACATGCTCGCCCTTTCAGCTATGAGGACGTTATAATGTGATGGTCAATCCAACTATTTGTTGGTAAAATAGAAGCCCAAAAGTTGGCGGTGGGTGGTGATGACTAGTTGCCTTCCCTCTAGTCTTTCACTACTAAATTACGGACGGCTAGCGCAAATATCCCTGGTGTAGCTTTGCGCGAAATTCGTAACAAAACAAACCAACCAAACTGTCCTTAATGGGATGGGGATGCGAACTAGAATGAGCTGAGAGTTAATCTCCCCTTAAACATGTGTGTAATGGGAATGATCCTTGATGTAGGTAATCTGGGATTGTGGGATACTGCACTGGGCTTTCAGCTGACTTGAAAGTGTGACATAGGTTCAGTGATATCGTTTTAGGAAGAAGGATTGATGTATTCCAGTTGCCAGAGCGTGTTTTCACCAGAATATAGAAACTGGCCAACCATTCAGACCCTAGTGATGTGTAACGAACAACGATTTTTTTTTGTCTTTGTTTTACAGTTGTTTCCAGTCTATCCTTTACTGCCTTGTGTTCTATATATTCTCTGCACGCAAACCTTTTCTAACTTCCTGTATTGTGGACTTAATACTTACCCGTTGGTTCCAGTTTTACTTGAAAATACTCACACTCGGTTTTATTTTCCTATTCTCGCTTCCTAGTGCTTATGTTGTAGTTTCATAAGCTGCTGTGTACGGGTAACTAAGCTTATTTCTATGCCCCTGACGTCAATTCATTGAACTTTGAACGAAATTTATGTTTTACAAGCCTCTGACAAACTGGTGGCCAGGACGAGTAGTTTAGCTGTTTTGGCGAACTATTCAGTTATTTTTTTTTTATTATTTATCAGTAACTTTTAAAATCACGAATTTACCATTTCTCTAGATGACTTGTATTTGACTCTGGTTTCATTAGACGGTATATAGAGTCTCGTTAATTCTTTCACGTAGGTCATTAATTACATGAATAGTTCATTTGTTTGTTTATAGTTAAGCACAAAGCTACACAAAGGGTTATCTGTGTTCTGCCCGCCACGGGTATCGAAACCCGGTTTCTAGCGTTGTAAGTCCGCAGACATACCGCTGTGTCACTGGTGGGCCTGTTTTATAGCAAAGCCACCGTCCACCGCGGAAGATCGAACCCCTGATTTTAGAGTTGTAAATCAGTAAACTTATCCCTGACCTACCGGAGGATTAATTGCACGAAGAGACAGTTGGTTAGCGTAAGAAAGGAATCGTAATTTAAAAAAAAAAGGTTCAGCCAGTGTAATCAAATAAAGAAATACAATTATCTGAAAATATACAATTGAAAATGACTTATAATTAGAAATGAATATTGTTAAACTTTTGTCTTACAGAAGGTAAAAAAAAGCTTACAGAAGGTCAAGAAAAACTTACAGAAGGTCAAGAAAAACTTACAGAAGGTCAAGAAAAACTTTCAGAAGATCAAGAAAAACTTACAGACCAACCTAATTTATGTGTGTGTGTGTGTATTTTTTCATGACTATAGTATACACACATACACACACACAAAAAAAACATACACTAATAGAAACCCTACCTCTAAAATTTCCAAACCTACGTTGATTTGAAATGATTTCACCTTTTCTTTCAGCTCATTGCTGATTAATTTAGGGGGATAGAAACCTGCAGGTTCTTTTCTTATGAGAAACAAAATTTCTGTGTTTTGGTGTGTCTGCGTCTCTCTAGGAGTTCTGGTAACGTTGGTTACCGCTGGTTGTATGCTGATAACCTGAACACTCTTCAGTGGAACATTAAAAATGTTTCTGAAAAAACCGAGAACACTTTTTTTGTAGTGACGGACAAAGAATGTAGGACTAACGTTAGCTACTCGAACTCCAACGCAATGTTTAATAGAGTCTTCTGTCAGTGCAATAACTTTGATGGTAATAGCTTTAATTGTAGTAAACCTGTCGTCAGTCACACTTATATTGATGGGGTAGTCACCGGGATCCAATCCTGATGTTACCGATAAAGTTCCGTCTTCGTGGTTAATCTGAAAGAGATGTTTATGCGGAGACACAATATCGAAACTTAATGTATCGTAAGGGTCTTCATCCGTTGCTCGAATACGGCCCAGAATTCCACCAGAAAATCCACCTTTATATGATGTAATTGTGATGTCACGTGGCATTATCTTCGGGGCAAATCGACTTTCTTCGACAATATGGACAGTGATCCATGCTAAGCTGCTCAGAGGAGGAAGTCCAGCATCAGTAACCTGGATACACAGAGTGTAGTTGCTGCGGTACTGGTAATTAAACTTTTTTGCAGTTTCCAATACGCCATCTTGTGGTATTATACGGAAGGAGTCATCCTCGTTCCCAGAGATAATGCTGAACAGGAAAGGCCCAGTGTTTGGAGCAGTATCTTCATCAGTGACAGTAAAACGTACAACCGGAAATCCCGGTTTTTTGTCTTCCTGAAATATGGAAAAGTTTCTATAGACCTTAGCTTCCAAAACAAGACATTGTTAGCATAAAACGCAATAAGAAACGTAAGAGTTTGGTGAACGAAATTTGGATTCACTGAATCAACACTCAATACAATGAAACACTAAAACTGTTGTAATACATTTTTGAAATTATTAAGAGTTTTTTTTTTTAAATTTATTTTAAAGATTCAGAAACTCATCGATGGTCTTTTGATTCTGAGGTTAATCAACGTTCCTTCGATTCTCATGTGATTCAAGATGCCTTTTCTATTGTAAAGATAATTCAGTTTTCTTTGCTATTTTAAGGATATCGAAATAATTCAATGTTTTTTGCCATATTAATCATCTCGTAACGAGCTAGTTTTTCATTGCTATTTTAATGATCCCGAGATAGTTCAACGTTTCTTTGTTACATCAACGTACTGAAAGCCTATTATACTCTTTAGCACCTGTGTAGATTCAAATAAAACACTGTTTTCTTACATTTTGAAAAACCTCAGATGTTATTTTTGAAACATTTTAAACTATGAGGCCAATATTTAAAAAAAACAAAACACTTCTACATCCAGTTTAATAGTGCACATTCTTCACGTGTTACACAGCAACCGCGTTGTCATGGAAACATAACTAATTAATTAATCGACACTCCCATACGGGGGCTGAAAATATCTGTTATTAGTTTTAAACTCGTTTTCTTCAATCCCAAGAAAGTAAAACTTATCACCATTAGTTTCACAACAGCTCCAATTTTACTTATTATGAGATATAAACATTTCAGATCAAACTTATGTCCCTATTAGGTACGTAAAGTAGCTTCTTTAAGCTAACGACTACAAAAAAAATATAGTTTCGGTTTAATATATTTAAATTATTTGCTATTCAGTTGTCACTTTAGTGGAGTTATGTATACTTAACGAACCCGTTTTACCTGTATAATAGTTACATAGTTGGTTTGTGAAAACACGGGTGGGTTATCGTTCACATCAGATAACTCAACATTCACAAAGACTCTGGAGAAGAGATATGGAGTTCCGCTGTCACGACATTCTACCTCCAATAAGTACTTGGTTACCTAAAGAAAGACAACGCGTTGCTATAAATAAGGGACGAGATAAAGAATGTATTGTAAAAAAATATAATTGCCCAATACTCATGTAGTATGACAAGTTATAATATATTATAATCATGCTTCGCTAGCTTTAAAAGGCGTTCACACCATAACAGATGTATTAATTAGGCCTAACTCCAGCAATATAATCGTATAATTATCTGGAAATGATGAAAAACAATATATATATATAAAAACACAGAATTATAGAAACAACTATAAA